CTAGTTTATTACATACTATTTATGTTTCATAGTTTGTCAACTACAACAGTATTTTGTTTTATTTACTTATAAGCTATGAGAGACTTGAGAGGTTAACAAGAGTTTTGAGTTCATCTAGACTGCTTCGATTGACACAGAATGTTGGCTGAACATTTCGTACCCACCATATACCCATGATTTGGCACCCAAAGAATATTACCTATTCGGAAACCGATCGGAAACGATATTATACATTAATGTTGTTTCAATATATCATGCTAATGCTCATTTTTTTTTTAATTATAAGTAAATAAATAATAGAAATTTTATGTATAAATTCACAGAAGATATCTTGAATGTCACAGATCTAAGGTAGTTGAGAGAAATATATTAATAATATATTTTCTGTTTACTAGATCTTTGACACGGTTTAGGAGATATGTACAAAAAAGTTAACCTGTATGCTTATTGCTATATAAATGCGCAATACCATTTGCAGGAAATATATAGCAATTCTTTATTTATGTTCATCGTACATAATACCAAGCGGTACTTCAATGTTTATATGTAATAAATATATCTTCTTGGGTTTAAATATACGAAACGATCCACTTAGGCGTCTTCGGTGTTTCAACGTTCAAGGTTCGCCAAAATATTTACATATGCTGAAAATATGTACCAGCGCCGATATTATTCAATTACCTTATCTAATCGTATGCGGAACCAGGGTTAAGGGAAGCAACAAGTGCCGAACTCAAATGCCGTGAATGGAAGGGTTGAGCCTTCATCGATAATATATATTATAAAGAAATTTTGTTACTCAAGAATTTGGCTTAAATATTTATATATTTAAAATTCTATAAATAAAGTATTGTTATTTCTGTACACTTCAAAAAGATGAAATAGTTTTGTTTGCTGCACTGCAATTTAAAACATTTTTAAGTTTTTTAAGTTATTAGTAACTCTTCAACAATTTCAGTTTAATTAAACTTTATTTGAAAAGTCAATTTAAAAAATTGTATATATTTTGTATGAAAAAAATTCAATCATTAAATTACAAACTTGAACTTCACCGTCTATCCTTGTACGCCTTGTATGGCTTGTATGGCTTGTATGGCTTGTACAGTACGTTTCAAGTTCATTATAAAATAATAAGCAATTTTGTGTTGCATTTTAATTAATTTGCCAGATGTCTGTGAAATGCAAATGAAAGAAATGCGGCACTAGCAAATAAGCAAAATGAAGTTTTCCCTCAAAATGGAGAAAAATCAGCATTCAAAACAATTTCATTACCACTTTTCTTACAAATTAAATATGTAACCAAGTAGAAGGACGAAAAGATGTGAATTTTTATATAGTCGTTTGCATACAGAATTCTATGCAATATCCGAGAATTTGTTTTATTTATGTGATTTCTGCATAATTTTGCAATAGAAAAATAAGTAATAGAAATTACCTAGCCAAAGGTAGACGAAGTCAATGCACGCATTCTAATAAAGAAAACAAGTAACGAGACGACGAGGTAGATAAGGTAGAAGGTACGGTAAGGCGGAATTATATGGAAAGCCTCATAAAAGCCTAGGCAAACAAATTGAATGAAATCAACTCGTTAAAAATAAATAGACTGATGAATGGCAGAACTATAGGAATGAAGCGGTACAACATTTGAAACACACAGGTGAGGTTGCCACAGAAATCTGGCATTGCTTGGTAAGTTCCAACGAAATGGAAAAGTAAAATAAATACAAATAAAAAATAATAAGAAAAAGATGTATAAGAGTAGCATAATACACTGCAAAAAAAAAACACAGAAGAAGGTACACAACGCATCAGAAAATATGAAAATTAAGTCTTTATGCAGAATATCAGTGTATAAATTATTTACTTACCTCGACTTGACTGGTGGTTTATTATGCTGTGAAGTCATTTATAGCTGCAATTGTGCCTTGGAGCAATGAAATAAAACAAAAATAAAAAATAGAAAAAATAAAACAAAATTGGAGGACAATGTATGGGTTACAAATGGCAATTTCAATGAGTTTGCCATCTCATCACTGGTGTTTGTTGTTGCAACATATTGATGAACTCCGACATATTTTCTTTGTTAGAACTCTAAAGAAAAACGGAAATCCTTCAGGGAATAATAATGAAATACATACTTCAATGTTAGCAGGCAGCGTTGTTGCTATTTTCCATTGTTTACTATGAATTGTGCAGGATTTGCAAGTGTTGGCTATACAGTGCTAACGCATTATTAAGTGGCAACTAGTATGCAGTAAGGATGGTCTTACGCAAAAGATATCAGGATATTGCACTATGCGGAAGTCGCTACTCATTCGTGGGAGTATGAGTATATGCAAATATCTTCTTTTTGCATTATGTAAATAAAGCATTGCATATATATAAAAATCATACGCAAACCTTTTAATATTGCACCCAATATATAGAATTAATAAAGGATTTTATGTTGGTGGTGTTAGGTAGAAATAAATATTAAATTTAATTATTCAACTAATATGTCAGATGTCCGATGTCCGGTGTTAAGCAATAAATTGTTCATGAAATTTAATATAAAAAATTTTAAACTTTAAATAGGGTTTTGACAATTAATTTTAACTATAAAATGATTAAATGTTCAATTAAATTAATACATAAATAATTGCTTGTTATGCTGTGTTAAACGTATTTAATTGATTTTTCGAATATGTTAACAAATTATTTATTTTATGTAAAATTACTAACGCGTAAAAAATTTATTAAATTCTGTATTGCGACTACGTAATCGTTAAGCTTAAATTTTATTATTAAAAATCTAATGGTTTGATAATGACAATAAAATTATTATTCTTATGGAAAAAAAAAGAAAAAAAAATTTAAAAAATTGTTGATAAATTTATTATTTTATTGTGTAAACAAATGTGTTAAATAACAAAATATTTGTGATATAAAAATTAATATAAACTTCACAATTCAATGATTTTGAATAATAGTTGCAGTAAAAAGTGTAAAATTGGTGATAATAAACTCAATAAAGCATTAATTAAATTAATTAAAACTGTTTTAATATGTTAATAATGATTTGAAAAAATAAAATAGATTTAATAAGTATCTATGGAACGATACACAAGCTGCAATTTTAACCCTTTAGATAGTTTACTTTAAATGCGATTGTCTTTGTAAGTAATCCAATGGAGCTTTCGATTGGTAAATCTTGACTGAATCTAGATTTATACTTGATCTGCCGAATTTTGTTGCCCAATCGAACATTTTTAGAGTAATCTAATATTTTTTGTATCAGAATTAGTAGATATTTATATTTTTCATAAATACATATCTCGATTTAAATTACACAATTTGTCTATTCATAAAACAACTGTTAATTCTAGAGTGATCTTGCTACTCTGGTTAAATATCTAGAGTGTTATAAATTAAACTCTAGTGTTATACATTTTGCCTCATATTTACCAATCGAAAATCAAAATTGCACTAAAAGTGCATTAAAAGTGCATTAAAAGTGCATTTCGTTTGTAAAAATTATTCCTGCTTTATCAATCGAAAATGTCTTAAGAAATAATTTAATAGTTTTTATAGTAATACAGATAGAAGTTGTTTATTAATATGAGTTATTTCAATATAATAGAATTAAAATAGAATAAATTAAATAGAACTAAATAGAATTAAAAACCATTTTAATATTTTTGAAAATTCACGCTACATTCGGCAACAGATTCAAAACTTTTAAGCAAAAAGTGTTAAAAGAGTATATAAGAGTTTGTCAAGATTTTTGTAAAGTTTTAAGAGACTCGGAGCAAACCCCATAAATTGTATATATTTTTGATTACCCCGACTGGTAGAATTTATAAATAAATTTCAAAATATGAACTCTTCGAATACCTATATATTTTTGATAATTCCGACTGGTTGAGTTCATAAATAAGTTTTAAAATATTAATTCCTAGAAACACCTATGTCTTATCTCTAGTAATAATTTATGTGATTTAATGTATTAATATTAGGATTGATTGAGTTATTTTTTTTATAAAGTTTTTAGGGTTTCAAAGTAATCTTATGCGAAAAGACCTAAAACAAAAATAAATTTTACAAGCTTGATTTCATAGCACCCTAAAGACTGTGTATAGAGAGCAACAGACTCATAAGTATAAAAGAAATCCAGTTAGTAGAAAACCCATTGAAACTTTTTTCTCTACTTGCAAAAATAATATATTTATCTGAATACTTATTTGAATATTTTACAACAAAATGATGTTATACATTTCGAGATGAATACTATATTGAACTGCATTGGTCTGTTAATATATTAGAGATCACATATTTACTGGAGTGATCCGACTAACAATCAAATAGATAGCAATGATATATTATGAGCTATTGTAAATTAACAACTGATTATTATTTTTATAAAATGAATGAAAAATTTTATGTCGGAGAAGTGTTTGATAACCACAAAAAACAGATTAAATCACATCTATCTCCAATAAAATCAAATGATACACTTCTGTCAAATCATTAATAAACATATGTACTAATAATATTTAAATTATTGAATGTAAAGTAAATGATTTTTATCGTTTTTTAATATATTAATGAGCAAATTCAAGGTTGTCTGCAAATTATACATATTAAGTTGTTAAGAGTACACAACTGTACACAAATTTTCATAATCATACGCCATGTGGTCCCAAAAAATTCTAGATTTTTTATAAAAATATATAATTATTAATTTGTAGCGTGTCGTGTAGTTTCTATATGCAATTATTTTTGAGTTAAGTTAAATTAAATAAATTAAAAAAATTATTTTTTAGTAATTGTAATTGTTTGTAATTGATTTGAAGTTCATGTTTTAGTTAAGCAAATATTTCAGGCGTGAATAAAAATTAAACAAAACAAAGTCAAATTATTTCCACATATCGAAGCAAATTAATTAATTTAAAATTTGTGCTTAATCATCTTGTATAAAATTTTCATATAAAATGAACTGAAAATTCTGACAAACAACAGAAACAATTCTCAGCCAAGCCATTCTCACATCATTTGAACGAAATTTAATTTTCTTTTGACAAAATGAAAATTTCAATTTTCCTAATTGTTGCATGCTGTGCTGTAGCCTTGGTAAGTTAAACAGGATTTTAACATTTTCATTACAGATATTTATTTTTTAAATTGTTGTTAACAACTTTAAAACGTTTAGTGCCAAGAGCCCAATAAGGATATTTTGAAAATTGGTACAGATTGTGCTAAGGAAAATGGGGTCACCGATAAGGAATATATGGATTATCATGCTGGTAAAATAAAGGGAGCCGATGTTAAAGAAAATTTGAAATGTACCAACAAATGCTTTTTAATTAAAAATGGTTTTATGGATGAATCTGGTAAATTTATGCCTGAAGTATTCAAAACAAAAATGGCCGGTATGGATCCTAAAGTATTGACTGAAGGTTTAGAGAAGTGCAAGGGAAAGGAAGCGGCAAATGTTTGCGAAAAAGCATTTTTAATTTCGGATTGCTTTTTGCAAATCAAATTACAAGGATAATGAAACTTCATTAGCTTTTCATAAAAAATTTATTTGTTAAAAATTTTGTTTGTAAAATTATCACTTGTAGGCAATATAAATAAAACACTAATATGTTATAATGTTGTATCAGCATACTCGTAATATAATTGTTTTAATTAAAAACCATTTTAGTTTACAAAAAAATAGTATAGTCGCATACTCCATTTAACCTTTTGACTTGGTTTAGGATAGTTTGTAGCGGTGATTTGGTATATCAAAGTTCACTTAAGCATAATTATTAGAAGAAAAAAAACCTTTACATGCTTATAATAACCATCAAAATAGTTATAAAGAGTTATACAAGTTAACCGCTTAGTTTAGAATAGGTTGCAGAGGTGATTTCGCACACCAAAGTCCACTTAAGCACAATTATTGGTTTGTTGTGGTAACAAGAAAAAAAAACCTTCAAACGTTTAAAAAAATCCATTAAAATAGTTATAAATATAGAAGTGTTCTGTGTATAGACAATAGTGGAAGGAACAGGTATGATTGTCTCATTTAAGTACAAGTTAACCAATCTGACAAAGCAATTAAGCACAATTTTGGACATTGTCCGATCTCTTAGGTGGGTATAAGAACGGCCCCCAAAACTAAATAATTACAAAAGTAGTTATGGTTTAGACCATATTACGCAGTAACTTGTCAGCAACGATATCGTAGTGTTAATTAGGTTTCGCTTTAGCTAGAGCAGCTGATTGGTACGTGTCTTGTCCAAATTATAGGGTAGCCAATAGCTTCATTACACAGACTTTTTCAGTTGTGGTGAATATATTTGTCTAATGGTCGCCTTTGCTGTTGCGAGTACAATACTGACGGCCGGTGAGCAGTATGCCTACTTTGGTAATCTTTTCAGCTCGTTATTGTCGATGGGTTTAGGTACCAATATAAATACCAATGATGCTTCATGCTTCCGAAAAGTATGTGAAAAAATTTATTTGAAAAGCTAATAACTGATAGTTGTTGGGGATGAAACACACAGAAGAAACCGATGAACAGAGCTAAATAAACTCAGTTCGTCAAGCTGATCTATATACATTATTGAGTTTTAGTCGTTTCTTTAAATAATCTTGTCGAACCAAATAGGGTGTACATCACAGTTTTTGCTGAACTCAAACCGTAATAATTTAATTTTCATTTTCAAGTCCTGCCAAATACCCGTTATTAGTGATCTTTTTGGATCACTATTTCCTATATTAAAGTATTTGTCAATAATTTTATTTTGAAATAATATTTTTCGCAACTACCATGGGTTGCGCTTGTGCCCTGCCAAATATATATTACTATACAAGTACAACTACATATGCTTTCAAGTGATTGATTATTATTAATTTATTATGTTGAAGCTGTTTTGAGCTAGTGCACTTAAGCACTTATAATCTTTTTTAACTCGAGGTATTTTCAAAACCCCTCTTTACACCTTGACTAGATTATTGTTTATCACTTCATCAGACTAAGCAATAATTGATCTCAGATCTGCATAGCTCCCCGACGAGCCTGTAACCATTTTGAGATTCTATAATGCAGTGTTGGTAAGCTTATCAGTTTTCGTAAATAATTGCACGGCTCTATCGTTTACGTATATTTTGATCGGATTAATCTTGATGTCTCTGAGAATGTAATTAAAATTAATATTTTTTTAAATATTATTTCGAGTAACATGAAAATTATATTTAACAAATGCAATTATTTCTATTAGTTAGTTTGTTTTGGGCTCTTTCGAGTCAGCTAGTCCAACCTAACCTAAACCTAAAAGGCAACTAATAAATTTATAGCCTGAAGGCTTAAATTAAAAGTCTAACAATCTTTATTTTTGGGTAGGAATAGGCTAAACCCGGAAATTGTAAAACCGTTGATTAAAACATCGATAGCAAACCAACTATTTTCAATAAATAAATTTGAGGAATTTTTAATTTTCTTAAGCAAACCAATAACAAAAAAAAACAACATCTTATTTAATAAACAAAAGAAAAAACATTGTGCAGAAGATACATCCGAAAAAGAACAAACCTCAAGAAGAGGAAACATTGAATGTTTTGATGCCATAACAAAGGATAACAACAGCAACAAGATGTGCTGCATAGGCAAGGATATGCAGTGTGGCATGTTGCCAAAAGCAACAAAAATATCTGACTTAAAAAGGTCAACAAAAAACAAACTAAAGGAAAATAATAAGTAGAGTGGTTGATGGAGAATAAGAGTAAAACGCGGAAAGGGAGTGTGGTAAGGAAAAATTTTCAATAATTTGGTAATTCAAAGTATGAGAATAAGTAAAGTGGCTTGGTTGCATTTGTGGCAAGGGAATACAAGTAACAAAATTTAATAATCGATTTCTATAACAAAAAAAACGAATATAAATGCAAACATATTGAAACAAAGCACAGCAATAAGGATGAGAAATCCGACAAACTCAATGCCGTAATGCCGAGGAAGATGTGGCACAGATACACGCACAAAGCTACTAACAATACAACTTGGAATTGGCAACGCAACGAAATCAGTACAGAAAAAAAAAAAGGAATTAAAATCCTTGGTCGGTTTTTGCAGTTTCCGAAATGAGCTGTCATGTCATAAGTTCGTATAAGAACATCACAGCAGTAACAGCAGTTTTAGCAACAATTTCCGGATGAACATCTCATAACCTCAGGGCAAACAATGCTTGTTTAAACGATGACTTCCGTTTTGGCTGCCATTTTTTTTTCTTTGCTTTATGAAATTCTCATTTATTTTTGAATTTTACATTTTCAATATTTTTTTTCTTCAAATTCTTAAATACAAAAAAAAAAGACAAGAGACTTGAAAGGAAGTTAACTTTGCTTCGATTACTGGGGGTTAATAAACGATTTATATGTATATATTATAAGCAGTGAGCTGTGATGCGTTGACATATGTTATAGTGCAGTTGTCCTTATAAGCACTTCAGGCTATATTAGTGAAACCAGAGTTCTTTGTTTTTTGTTAAAAGTAACTATTTTGGTATATTTTAAACTTCAAATGTGTAGTATCACAGGACTTCGTTTAATATCAAAAATAATGTTACCAAATACGAGATAGGGAATTTAAAGTTTCTTGTGGCGTATAGTCTCACATTCACAAATAACATAAGTATACCTATGTATATATTATCATATATTAAATACAAAAGACTCTCACATACAATACAGTATATGTTATTGATGACATAGACGAGCATGTTTTGAGGAAAACCACAACAAATACATTTAATATGATTTTAATGAATCGACAAACCTTAGCTTTACTTTTATTATCTGTCAACTTATTGACAACAATTTCATTTGATATATTTAATATATATGTTATTAAAAAGAAACGCCATAAAAACCAATTCATATGGGAAATATAATACACAAACTATAGTAACGTCACCTGCAAACCGCATAACATCCGTACCTTATGCAGGATGGAGATGCGCATTGTAGGCTTGAAATTCCTGCGAATACTTGGGAAAAATGTTGAATTTTACATAAATTTCCTTCTGTTTTGTTTACTTGGGGGAAAAAGCTTTTGCTTTTCCTTTCTAAGTGTAATCGGGGTTGGTTGTGTTGTTTATTTTTTATGACTGCTTATGGGTCATTGCTCCAAATACGTTACCACATAAAGTTTAGAGCAAATTTTAAGCCTACAACATTGTTGCTTCATATACGTAGAAGCAATGAAGACTATTGCTCTAACATACCTTTTATGCAGCTATGCAGGACTGCCATAGTCGTAGCCAATTTTAACATAACTTACACGCAGTCAGTTGGAAAGTGTGATGATGTCCTGACTGTCGCCCTTGTCTCATACTATGCTTTCATCGCTGTTGCTGCTGTTGCTGTTAGGAGTATTGTTGTTGTTACTTTGTCCTTATATCCAATAAACATTGTACTGCACAATGGCTTAGCCTTGGGATAATCATAGTTTAAGCCATGGGCTGTCTTGTTTTTCTGAAATTGCTTTAGTTATGTCTTGACAACATTTTTACATGAGCTGAGAAAATAAGCCTCTACGCCTAAATATATAGGTTTATGACTTCATAATAGCTTAGTTGTTTGTTTCTTTGATATTATAAGCATCGTTGTTGATTCCATTTTTTTTTTTTTTTTGGTTTGAATTTATTTTTATATTTTTTATTTAATATTATTTTAGCTTCAGTTGCATTTTTATCATTTTAAGGGGATTTCCAGGGGCGTTGTTAATGATTGGGAAAGTCACTTTATGTCCTACGATGGGGGAATTAGTTGTCTCTGTGGTGTGCTTAAGTTTCGGTATGTTTTATTTTTATGTCTTTTGCAATTTTAATTCTATTTACCAACATTTTGAGTTGATATTTTCTAGTTTTAATAATAAATAACAATTTTTCAATAAGAGCTTAAAGTATTGATTACAAATTGTAAAATGAAATTTCTAATCAAAAGTTTAATTTCGATTTACAAATACACAGGGTTATCCAATTTAAAGAAACATCCATAAATCTCATTAGGTATGAAATACATTATTCAATTGTCTTGTCTTTCATGATATATTTTACTACAAAGTAATAGATCATTTTGAGGCAATTTCTGATTTAATCACAGATTGCTAGCTATAAATCGGTAATAACTTCATAAGTAATGAACTGTTGACAGTTTGAGGCTTGACTATATAAACTATCGACAGTTTGAAGATTAACTATACAAACAGTTGACAGTTTACTGATTGATTATATAAAATGATATGAATTATATGAAATTAATTATATAAACAGTCGACAGTTTGCAGACTGATGATATAAAAGCATACTTTCCTAGACTATACGATACAAAAAAAATTTCAGTAAATGTAATTTTGCATGATTTTAATGATTTAATTATTAATTTAAATTATATTTATCAATAGTCATCGCGAACACTTTCTAGTTTTAATAGAAAATTCCAATAACAGTGAGAAATATTGATTTCAAACTAAAAACTCAAATCAAAGCTTTAATTTCGATTACCATGATTAACAGGGCTATACAGGGCTATCAATTTTAAAATTTCAATTTCGATTAACAAATACAAAGGATTGTTTATTTTAGGTTTCTATATATACATTCTGTTAAGTATGAAGTATGT